CTTGGGATACCTCAAGGACACTGACTGGAGTACTCAGCAGCAAATGAGCATTGCTCTGCTGCTGCCCAAACAGCCCCCTCTGATCTTCAGCTTGAGGATGAACAGCACCCTCTGAGTTTCAGCTTGAGGCTGATGGGCCCCTGGGGAATCTGGTGTAGGGGGAAGTTATAGCTGAAGGAGCAGAGGAATTGCAATTTCTGCTAATTCTAACGCCTTGTATGAGGTAGGCTACAAGACAGATTGTTAAGCCATTTTATGTCTAGGGTTTGACTCTTCAGCATGTGTCATCTTAGAAAGTGGGGCAAAAATTGCTATCTACCCCTCCAATATACATTCCCCTTTCTTCCTTTACAATGGATAGAAGCAAGTCCACATTTCTAGCCTCACCTGCACTATAAGCAGCAGTCAGCATCAGAAGGGAGTCTAAGAAAGTTTATCAAAGTTAGTCATACTTAGCCACCATGCACACCCTGTGCCTCCCTCCTTCTGGTCTTCTACAATGGGGTCATGATAGCTGGTATTTCAGCAGCTAGCTTATGATCATGAGGCAACAGCTAAAGATGGGAAAGCAAAAAGACAGAAGGATCCTAATTCTCTGGATGAGCCTGGAGCCACTACACTTTCACACTTTCTGGTGCCTCCTGCTCATATTTTTTATGTGAGAGATGGAAAAACACACCTTATTTTGTTTAAGCTACTCTTACTGTGGGTCTGCTTCAAACAGCTGGATGCCATTTCTAGCCAATACAGATGACTGAAAACTCTTATTTGGCCCCACCATGTATTATAGATTCCAGTGAGCTCCTCCATAGGGAAGGCCTCATATTGATGGCATTTCCTCAGAGAGTCCTGACTAGGGAACCTCTACAGCATCCTTGGTACCACTCACCTGTGGACAAATGTGGAGTGGTCACACATGAAGAGTCTGATTTCTCTTCTAGTTTTTGTGCTTGTTTCACAGAGGTCAGGCTCACCTTCCAGGCTAGACTATAGGTCTCCTAAGTTACAATATGTTAGGCATATCCTCTACCTTGGTTCTAGGGCTTATCCCACAGCTCTGAGCATGAAGTAGACACTCACATCAATACATAAATGTCTGAATATGGTTTTATTATTAGTGAGACATTGACCCCAAATCTCTTTATACGACAGCTACTATAGAAACAAACAGTGTAGTAGGTACTAATTGCTGTCACAGTAGACAACAACAAAGTTTCTTCTGGTATTTGTATACTATCTCATAGTCTTTGAAGCTTTTTCACACGTACGACCCAATAAATGCCACAATTTCACAAATGAAAAAAAAAAAATGAGGCACAGATAGGTTAAACGTGTTTCTTAAAGGCAGATAAATAGTAAACACTAATGGTCAGGTCTGGATGGACTGCCAGGAAAGGACTCTTCCTGGTGATAGCTGTGTGAAAATATCCTATGTGTACCCCAGCCACCATCATCACCTCCCCGAAGTAGTCATGGTTCCTCAGGCCATCATTTTTCCTTCTGATATACCATCTTCTAGTGAGACCCCTTTGCATCCAGTCATTCAGTTCACTGTGAGTCTCCCCCTCACTCCCACTGCTGCTGTCTCCCTGCACACTGGCCCACCCTGACCAACTCAGTGTTCTAGTATCCTCTCCTAGTTCTGTCCTGTCTTGGGTGGGAATGTTGAGACAAGGACAGAATTAACAAGCTCACGTCCCTTTGTTTAGCTGACCAAGAGAAATGAAGCACACAGTGACTGACCCCAAGTCACCTGGAGTTGTGGGCCAGCCACCTTTGCCAGGCTGGGCTCTTTCCCAGACAATGTGCCTGAGCTTGGCTTAGACCAAGTCAAAGGACAGTATCCCAATGCTGTGGTCAATAAGTACTATCATCTCCAATCTGTCCTGGGGCTCAAGATTGTCCCTCAAACAGAGGGTGAGAGTGGGCAAGGGTTTCCTGGGTCTCCTCAGGTGCTTCACAAACTGGAAAAAAATCTTTCCAGTGGTCAAGAAAGGGGTTTAGGGTTGGTGTCAGGGTCTGGAAGAAAATCCTCAAGAATCCTCAAGAGCATCAAAACTGAATGCCCCATGGTGAGTGAAGACAAGAATTATAATCCATTAGGTGTCCTTAAAACCCATCCATGTAGGGCAAGCTCTGTGTGGCAATACCAGATATCAAACACTCAGGCAAGGAAAAGACACTTCTTCCTCACCTTCCCAGCTACAAAAATTGAGATGCAGTCAAAAAACAAATTGATGGGCCAGCAGGTGGCATGATGTTTAAGGCACTGGACTCCCACATGGCCACGTGCAGTTTGAGTCCCAGACCTGGAGGCTGGATTGCTTTCTCTCTCTCTCTCTTTCTCTCTCTCTCTCTCTCTGAATCTCAGCAAGTTCAAGGGAATTTTTTCCCAGGACACTTAAATTCCACAGAGCATACAGGAAGTATATTTATATATCTATTTAGATAGATATCTGGTGAGCACATGTGTCCTATAGCAAATTTTAAAATAATGATAATAATAATAAAATAAAATAAATAGTTATTTTTATAAAAGGCAAATTGAAGTCAAATTTTCACCTGCATGGGGAAAATAGATCCTTTTATGGAGTCATGGCATACTTTAGTGATTTCTCCATTTAGAAAATTAATAGATACAGAGATAGGAGCCCACCCATCATGCTGCAATCTTCACTCTGGTTGGCCAGTTCACCACTAACCATACTAAGATCTTCCTGAAGTCCTGCTGACCTCGGAGGCCGCTAATGTCACTCAGAGAAAAGTGGTCTTGATCCAGAAGACTGCATATTAAGCTTGGTTCTGCCATTTGTTGGCCAGGTGGGCCTTAGACGAACTAAATTCAAGTTAGTTAATATTCAGTTTCCTTATGTATAAGTGATTGAAAAATACAATTTGGCTTATTCTATCCTATAAACTGTAAGCAATTTTGGGACCAGCAGTTAGCGTAATGGCTATGTCGCTGAACTTCCATGTAGCCAACTGCAGTTCGAGTCGCGGACCCTGTGGCTTAAACTTATGCCGGGCACATGTGTGTGTGTGCCCAAGAGGAGAATGGAAGAGAAGGGATTGCAGTGTGGCCATCTCCTCTGGGGGGTGATTTCTCACTTTCTTTCTCTCTGTCTTTCTGGTGAGTGCACGTGCCCTATAGCAAAATCCTCTCAAAAAAATAAAATAAAATAAACAAAAAAACTGTAAGCAATTTTAAAAGGGTTCTGGACTCCATTTATGTTTTTTATACCTAGTCCTATCGTACAGGAAGCTTTGGATGAGTGTCACAAGTTTAACAGCGTTAGTTTACATCACTGCTATGAGACTCAACTGAGGTAATACATACGAACTATTCTGTAAATGAAAGCATATCACTCAAATATACATCCCTATCTTCTACTCTTGCCAGTCACCAGAGCTGGGGAAAATTTATCATTTCATAACCAAATAATTGCTCTTTTATCTGTGGAGTTGCTGCCTCCATTTTTTCCCCCTTTCATCTTGCTTACACACCTGGTGGCAGATTTATCTTTCTAACATAGCATTTTGAACATGTCACTCATAGTCTCTAAACCTTTAATGGTTCCCTAATGCCAAGTGAATAAAAGCCAAACTCTAAGACCTCAAAGCTCTTCTCAATTAGGTTAAAATCTGCTTTCCTCTGCTTCATAGAGAACTCAGATGCACTGGTAATAAAATGAAGCAGTAATAAGGGATTATTAATAGCATTATTAGTCATTTTAAGTACTTTGAAGTTTATTGTTATTTTATTAAATAGACTAATTAAAGCAAACATTAATTGTCCAGGTTTTCATCCATATTCCTTTTCAAATGAGTAATCAAGAATTACTTTCAGATGGACAGGACTTCTTGGCTATCCTGCATTTTAAATATTTCTGCTAGTCACTGTGTAGGCAGAACTGACTGCACTTAATTTATAAAGGAGGATTTATGGACTTACAGATGACAACAGACAGCCAATCAATAAGGGATGATAATAACAGCATGTAATATCAAGGAACATTAGGTCTCAGGCATGATTTGGGGAGAGAAGTGGGCAGTTAGAAACCTTATCATTTGAAAAAGGTCAAGGCCTGGTAGCAATAAAAATGCCTAAGCAAATAAAATCACACCTGCGAATCAGGAGAGGGTATAAATTGCTGAATGAAAAAGGATTTTAGATTTTGTGGAAAAATTGCCTCCCTGAGCAAGGATTTGGACTGCTGTAGGACAAATGTAGCTGCACCAACAGAGGGTCTATTTATTATTGCTAAGAGCAATAACAATGAAATGCAAATGTGGGGAATGCTTCCCAATGCCCAGGTCTTTCTGGGGATGAGACTTGAAATTTCCAGCAAACACTGGGGGATTAGATGTAGTAGAAAGCCTTGAAATGATAGAGCTGGGTCTTACTACACATATTTAAGACCCACTGGCTTTATGACATTCTGTCTGGTCAATGTTTTTCCCAGGGTTGGGAGAGTTTTTATTGATCTAGTAAATTGTTTGCTTGTGTAACTCAAAAAAGCAAAAAGCAAAAAGCAAAACAAAACAAAACAAATAAACAAAATCCCCACCAACTTGTAAATTCTATTACCAATAATCACGTCAATATTACATCACTAAAACCAAAATTGTAACTAATCACTCTCTTCGAAAAACATTCCCAGGATCACATAGAACTCCACAGCCAGCTTTACTGCAAAACAATTATCCACTTAGACAAATTCAATTCCATGTAACTTTTCAAGAATAGATGTACTAATTAGGGGATCTATACAGCTACTTCCTGCCTTCAGTATCCAGAAATTGGAATATTGTTTCCTTCCTACAGTATTGTTTTAATTTAGGAATTTATACATTAAATTAAATACATCACAGATTTTCTTCTAAATGTTCCCTAGAAGATTGAATCCTCTTTTTAAATTTCTAACGCTTGCTAAACAAACTGCAAAACCTACTCCCCCAGAGAGATTCTGCAACGTTGTGGTTTTGGAAAGCAAGCTTACCTCCTTGTAAGGTATATTCGGTCACTGCCCTGCTAAAGACGCCCAGGCCAGCCCCATTGTAAGCTGCCACCTGGATTTCATACTGTGTCCAGATGATCAGGTCTGTTACCAGGCAGTAGTTCACTTCGGGGCTAGTGATGTTCCTCTGCTGATATTCTCCAGGTAGGCCAGCCAGGCGGTACCTGCACCATAAAGGAAGCCCATGACTGTAGAGAAAGAACTTGAGCCAGGAGTTGGGTTTACTTGCAGTTATTATGCATGGTTAGGAGAAATGGAAGTGAATGAACAAGAGGAAGCTGAGAGGTCAGTTCCAGAAAATACTATTTCCTCATTCAATGATTTTAAAAGCATAATTTAATCTCACAGTGATTATAAACTATGGGAAAACCAAAACTGACATTTCAACTATGCCACTATAGTTCAGTGAAAAGTATAGCTTTTTAAGTGTAACTTGTGTAGGGAGTACAGTGACTCAGTACCAAAAAGTCCAGACATGAGTTCCATTGGGATATTGCCATAAATTAATTTAAGAAATATTTTCTTCTTGTGGCTCTGAAATGTGAGGGAAAGTCAAGAAGTAAGCAACATGTAATCTCTTGGTCGCCATGAACTTGACTTCCAGTTTTGTTTCCACCTAGGAAATTTGTATTTGATCAAGAATATCCCAGAACTAGAATAAGTAGCTTTGAAAAGATGTCAACACTTCTAGAATATTAGTCTAATGCTAAGCATGACAGACTGCTTTTCAGGGAACCTTTGTGAGTATTGAGGTAATGTGTTCTTTAGCATACTAAAAGCAGAAATTAAAAGTTGTGTTTATCAAAAAGGTAACTTACACAACTTTGGACTTAGGAAATGTATAAATTAAAAAATTGCTATTTGCACTATGAAAGGACTTTAGTAGCATTATTTTGATTAGCAAATGTTTTTCCATAATTCAGTTTATGGAAGTTAATGTACTGAACTGACTCAGTTAATGCACTGAGCTTTTTCTGGATCGGTCCCTCTGGGTAAAGAGAGGGACACATACAGCAGGAGCAATTTCTTAGTCATCCTGCAGCTTACAAAAGCATCTAATTTCTATCCCAGAAGTGTTCTTGCCTCAGGAAAATGTGGCTTTGTATGATAAGTGGAAAGAGGAAAAGATTGACGAGGGGTCCAAAACCAGAGTGGCAACAATAAATCCATCAGCTTTTTATGCCAGGTTGGAATCTTCACGTTCCTTCATGATGCTGAGTTTTTGACTCTGTGGATCAGCAGATTCTAGTCAGTTATTGGCACTGTCTGGGGCAGAGCACAAAGGAGATGGATCTCAGATCTCTATCTGGGGGACCAGGGCATCAAGGCTGCCATTATTGGGATAGGAGAATAAATCCAGAAATTCAAACCCTTAAACATAAAGAAAGAACTTTCCAAAGAGAATAATGGCTGAAAATTCAATAAGGAAATAGAGAAATGGCAATAAAAGGATCTTCACAAGAAAAACCAGAATTTTCTGAGAGAGTTCTTTCATCTCCTGTTTTTACAGGCCATTGGCACTTGGTGAGGCCTATTTGATAGGAAACATAAATGATTAAGAGCAGACAGCATCTGAATAGCAAGAATGTCCAATGCTGCCTCCTGCTTTTGCGTATGACCGCCAAAAGTATAAATGATCATACTACATTTCTGCTTCATATTCTATCAATTTCAGATACCCACTAAACTGGCATTCTTTTAGTGAACTACCTATGCCACGCAAATACAGGTATAATTCACAGGGGATGTTCAGTTCACTTATAGACTGTGATGGTTCTTAAAGCAGTGGTGCCAACAGGGAGAAAGGCTGGTCCTGGACTAACTCATGTGACAGGTATTTCCATTTAAATTCCCAGCCTACAAACGATGATCTTTAAAAATACATGGCACTGAGATAATTAGCCATTTGGAAATGGTAAAAATTGGATCCACACCCTCTCTAAACACTGAGTTGCCTGGACATGTAAATGGTACCAAAAACCACCTAGAATTAACATGACATAATGAGCATGAACTCTCAGGAAGGACTCACTGGTATGGACCCACTACTATACAATGGATATTCCAAGAAAAAGCAAAGAAATTAAGATCAGAAATCTGATGTTGAAGTCCCTGCTCAGTCACTTATGAGCTGAATGGTCTCAGGCAAATTCTTTTCTTCTCTGAGCCTTGGTTCCCACCTCTCTAAAATGGGAATGATAAAAGAGCATTTCATATAGTTATTGCAAGAATCAGATGAAGCTACGGAAGTGAAAGAAATGTGAAAGGGCAAATTACCTCCAATATTTAAAAAATAAAAAAACAGTGCTCTTCCAGTAAGCAGTACGGAAGAGACAACTCTGGGTTAGTAGAGACAAAGCCTACATGATTCACGCAACTTCTCAGGCCATTCTTTATACAAACGTGAGACACAAACTGCAGAATCCACATCTTCAAAACAGGCTGTGCTCCCTTCCAGAACAGGCAGGTTGGTCCATTCTGACCAGTGGCCCAGGGTGCTTTTTGTAATGTTCACAGATGTCTGAGAAGGTCGCAATTAATAACGCAAGAGCAGGGCATCCTCCTCCTACTGTAGGATATGTTGCCCAGGAGACAGTCTCAGACAGAACAAGATGATTTTTTATACGGAAATAAACAGGAGAATGTTTTTAAAGGACATAACCCCTATGCTCCTTTCAAAGAAACACCCTGCCCATTATTATAAATATTTTATTACTGCACACGCATCCTAACTACTTCTTACGGCCAAAGCCACGAAGGTGATTTATTTCCATTTGCTTTTCCATGTATTGTGCCTCGGATCTGACAGAGACTGTGCCCTGGAGGATACACGCTTGCAAACAGAGAGCTGATTTGCAGACTGGAGGATTATTTGGAAATGTTTCCAAGCAAATTCATTTTGGCATGGGTCTTTAATTTCTGAAAACTTTGATATTCACAGGCCTTGGGTATTGCACCCTCATTTTAGGGCTTTCTTGATTTAAGCCCCTACAAATACAGATGCCCTCTTCTCCAGCACTCAACTCTTCTGACACCATCACAGAAAATCCTTTTAACAGTAGTAATCCCACAAAATAGAGAAATGTGCAGTCCCTGCTGTGGCCTCATAACATCAGAGAGATTTTATTATTAAACTCTGTGCCCCAAGCCTGGTTCTGCAGGATGACTTTTAAAGTCCTTACTTGACAGCTTCCGCCTAAGGAAACTTTTCCAGCACGTGCTGAAAAAAGGCAGAGGCAGCTGGGATGACAAGCATGTGAGGGGCTGGTTAAAGAGGGCAAGCCAATTATTTTCATTAGTTGATGGGTACGGAACAAGGGGTAATGTGCAGTAGAATACCTCACCCTTCAAGCAGTGGGAAGCACAGGACTATTTTCTAGAGAGGAGAAAGGTCAAGAAATCGGGAATTTTCCCAAAAGCATCAATAGGAGCCAGAGCCCACAAGCCCCCTTCCTACAGGGGACAGAACCTCAATCTTCTCTTTGCCCTTCTTTGAAGTGGGAAAGGACAGTTGGGGGCACAGAGACAAAAGGGGGATATGAGTATTGATTCTAGCCCATTGTGTACCCCCACGGAATAGTCCATTCTAAACCACCTCGGGTAGATAATGATCTGGCTTATGTTTAAAGGAGAATCCATCAGTTGGAGGTAAAACTCGAGAATAACAGTGAATTAGTTGTGACAGGCAAATTTTGTATCTATAATGTAAAATGTTCATGAACAAGTATTAATTGATGAATGGCTAATTATGTAAATATACACTGAGAATGATCTGTCCTTCATATATGAGCATAATGGAGTTAAGAAGCAACACTTTCACAATATATCTACATTTATCTAAAGAATTAAATTGGGGGAACCAGCAGTTAGCGTAATGGCTATGTCTCTGGACTCTCATGTAGTCGACCGCGGTTCGCATCCCGGACCCGGTGGTTTAGAACTCACGCCAAGCGCGTGTGCATGCGTGCCCAAGATCCCAAGAGGAGGATGGAGGAGAAGGGATTGTGGGGTGACCATCCCCCCTGGGGGGTGATTTCTCGCTTTCTGTCTCTCTTTCTCTCTCTGTCTGGCGAGCACACGCACCCTACAGCAAAAACCTCTCAAAAAAAAAATAATTAAATTTATCTACTTAAGACCTTTGCTAACTAAGTATTTGCTGATCATATAGTCAAGAGTAAACCCAAGGTAGGCATTTGGAAGAAGGAATAATTAATGTCTACAGTTCTTGTCCCAATAGGTTTGATAAAATTACCAAATACATCCACAAGCAGAACAATCATTTAGAAGAGCTTTAATAATTATCCTTTAATATTGTTTTACTTTTTTTTTCTTTTTACCTAGGTCAACAAATCACTGCAATTATCACACTTAGTGCAATTTAAAAATTAGCAGTAGTTTTGGCAAAGATTTCTTCTTTCAAACACAACTAAGTTCTGATATAGTTCTCTTAATATTTTTTAGAAGCCAAACCATCCCTTAAAAGGCAGAGATAACAAACTGGCCACCCTGCTACTCTATCTGGCCTGCAGATGTATGCATTTGACTTCTTCAACATATATTTGGTTTATTTCAAGCTTCTAGAAATTGTGAGATTATATGTATAAAGCTAGATTTTGGATTTCTTTGAAATACTAGACAATCTGCCAATACTGACCAACATCCTGGCATGGTAGCAATGATTAATAATGATATAAAATGAATTATTATTAAACATTTCTAATTTAATAATACATGTCCTTGGTGAAAATTTAAATGAAAGAGTTTACAATGAATAGCACTCCTTACTCTTAACCCATATTAACACCATCTTCCTGCTAAAATACAACCACTGAAAATAGTTCTGTGTGTACCTTATGTTTGGATATGTACACAATATCTCTGTGAGGATGTCTGCATTACGTTATGCTCTACAGTTTGCCACAAACTTCACTACTCTCTAGAGTCTCACACCTGACCTGACTCCCAGAATTACTATCTGTCTCCTATAAACATGTTAGTTTGTGACACTGGTGAAATATATACTTGACTCATTATAATGACAGTCTGAAAATGGCCAATCACAGGTTACTTGCCTGAGGATATATCCACGCAGTACTCCATTGTGCTCTGTCTCTGGGGGTGGTTGCCACTGGACCATGATAGACTGGTTGGTACGCCCACTGGCCACTATATTTTTGGGGGGAGCACTGGGTGGTTCTTCAGGTAACATCAACCTAAAAATAAAGGATAAATAAGAAAAAGAGAGATGGAGATGAGTGTGAGAAACAACGATCCTTATTTGCATTCCTTGTCTTATTGATCCCTGAGCCTATTTGTGAAAATATTTAATTTATTTATAAATATATAAATATATTTATCAACAAGCAAGGCCAAACATACAGCTGACCAAACTAAAAGAATGTGTGTGAAATAGTTACAAGTCAACATAATAGGAAATCAGCTCAGCAAGCAACAAGGAAGACAGAGGAGGGGACCTTATTATGTCTGACTAACCCACAGTATCCTCACTCTGAAAAAATTACAAGTCTCAGTGAGCCATCTTACAGGACCATAGTCTGAGACTCCTTCTTTAGCTTTTTCAATATTTCTCATATCAAACTCCCACATTTTGGGGAAAAATTATCATTTAGACCTCAACTGTTCTACAACTCAAGCCCACTAAAAGCTCAGGTTAGGTGGAGAGGGCATGCTGAAATTTGATGAAATGGTCTTCCCATGTGCTGTTCGAATGAGCTTCGAAAGCAGCCTTCTCAAGAATGAGTGAGTGAAATGCGACACCACCGCAGAAACACTGGAGTCGTTCAGCTTCCCTAATAACACCCCAGAAGGTTTATACTTGTCAAAGTGAAAAGCTAGTGGCACCAACTTCTGCTGGTGGATAAAGGACACTGAAAACTTGTAAGCTCTTAATTTCCTGTGTACAGAGGGTTGTGCTCTCAAGAACAATTTATGTAGGCATAGCCAGAGCATCACAGGAGAAATCCAAGAAAATTGCCTTAGAGAAATTAAGAAAAACCCAGCTAGGTCAGTGCAGGACTGTGCTTTCCCTTTTTGTGATAGTCCTTTCAGCTCATGTTTTGCCAGCACCTCTAAAGGATGAATGTTAATCACTTTGATCAATTTCCTCCACCCAGTACCAGGCTTCAGTCTTTCTGCCCTAGGCTGCTCCTGGTCACTGTACAGGAGCTGGGTTTGGACACACCTGCTGGTCTCCATGCTGTACTGGCCCCTGCCCACTTGATTCACTGCACACACCCTGAACTGATAGGTGCGAGCTGGAGTCAGGTCACTCACAGTGACGCCTGTCATCTCAGGGCCAACATTTGACAGATGTACTTTCCATGGAGAGTCTGAAAGAATGAGGAAAACATATTCAAACTCACGAACATGCATGTCTGAGTGATAACAAGTACATGCAAATGCATTTCCACAAATCATCTCATTTGTTTATCAAGACAGCTTTAGGAGAGGGAGTGGTTATCCCCAGTTAGCAGATGTAGAAATCAAGGTTCATGGTCATATGACTAGTGACTGGTGAGCCTGGTGTGGAACTCAAGGTTTTCCACAGCAATCTAGTATGCTTCTCATTACTCCCATGTGGTTCTTAACAAGTAAAGGGATTCTTTGTTCAACCTGCATATGGCAGTTTAAAAGGAACTAAAATATTCCTAATTCCTGTGTTCAATATGTAACAGGAAAAGTTCTCTGTCAGCTCACATGGTTAGGCAGATTGCAGATTTGTCTCCCAGAAAAGGATGCCGCACATGCCACTGAATGATAAATAAAAACTATATTCATTAACATTTTAATAAAAGAGGAAATGAGCATGATAAAGACAGATGGGCTCTGCATTTTGCAACCCATCTGCGTGGCAGCCCATTACACCGCCACACCCCTGAGTGGCTTTGGCTGGAGAGAGACATAATGAAATTCACAGCTAGTTAAGAATATCTTTCCACCCAGCTTTCCTGCAGGTGTGGAAGAGCGAGTCTGTCAGCCAAATGGGCTCTCGCCCGAAGGCTGAGAAGGTTCTGCCAGGGATCCCACACCTTTGCTTATTTTTTTGTAGAGTTTAAATATGCTTTTCAGCCCAATCATTTTGTAGAATGATATCCTGGAATGAACAAGATCTGGCAATGACTTCGAGCATCCACTGTCAGTTCCCATTCTGAATTGTGATGATGCTTGAACTGCATTTTCAAGTTATTAGTGAAGGAAGACAGGGGGTAAACACTCTGGTAGAAACCAACCTATCTTTATCATTCCTCTAGAATAGTGTTAAAATCCCCTTCACCCATACTGGAAATGGTCAAGACATGACACATAGTTTGGGCTACTCTCAGACTGTAGACGATAAAGCTGCATGCAAACTGCACACATAAATCATAGTCACCTCTCCAAAAACCTAGAGGCTAAACTATGGAGATTCAAAGTCTGGGTCTGGGAGCTCATCAGAAATGTACTCTTGTTCCTTACAGGTCACCAAGAAATGGCCACAAATTGCTACAAAATGAAAGTCTGAAAGAATGAGGCTCTCAGAGGGCACTTCTGTTGACTCTCATACAGAGATGTCTATCTAACTAGTTCGTTAGCTAGATTCCTTAACACAAAGTTAAGCTGCACTGAAGCATAATGCCAGTTGGCTACAAAGACCGAATCTTTTTAATTATTTCAAATAAAGCTGCTTCCAAAAATGGCTTTCTGGGATTGCAGTCTTCACCACCAGCTGGGCATTTCAGTGTTTTTGGCTTTTGATTTTCAGTGACATGGGTAATCGGCAGCTGATGAGAATCACCCTCTCTTTACGATTCCTTTAAAAACACAATGTGTGCATCCTCAATCAACTATGGAAAAACTTACACCAACTTCTCTTTTCACTTTGAGAGTTTGAGACCCTTTTATTAGTATCAAACAGCTCATAGTGATCAGGTTTTCTAAGCAGGCTTCCTTACCGATAAGAGTCATTCATCAATAAAGAAGATGAAAGAGTCATCCCTAGCATCAGTGCAATTGGACTTGGTTGATTGAAAGGAGAGCCTCTCCATACCAAGGTTAACTTTTAGGGAAATACAGTTTTCATCCAGAAGACAACATATACATAGTAGGAAAAACAAACAAACAAACAAACAAACAAACAAAACACAGGGATATAGAAGTTGACAATGAGCTCTCCTGCTTAATGGTATTCAGTTTTGCTTGAACTTCTATAAAGATGAAGCACAGATCAAAACCACATGACATACCACCTTACACTCATCAGAATGGCTTTTATCAGAAAAACTAAAAATACAGAAAATAATGTGTTGATAAGGATGTGGAGAAACTGGAACCTTTGTGCACTGTAGGTGGTGATGTCAGTTAAATGATACAGCCACTATGGGAAACAGTATTAAGGTTCCTCAAAAAGTTACAAATAGAATTACCATGTCATCCAGCAATTCTACTTCTAGGTATAAACCCAAAAGAACTGAAAGCAGTCTTGAAGAGGTATTTGTACATCCATGTTCATGGCAGCACTATTCTCAATAGCCAAAAGGTGGAAGCTACCCAAGTGTCTATTTATGGATAAATGGATAAACAAAATGTAGTTTATCCATACAATGACATATTATTCAGCTTTTAAAAAGAAGAAAATTCTGACACACGCTGCAACGTGAATGAACCTGGAGGACATTATGCTAAGTGAAATAAGCCAGTAACCAAAAGACAAATACAATGTGATTCTACTTCTGTAAAGTACCTACAGTGATCAAATTCATAAAGACAGAAAGTGAAAGGGACTTGGGGGAGGCAGACACAGGGAGTTAATGTTTAATGGGTACAGAAAACATGCATAGAAAGAATTCTAGAGACGGATGGTAGTGATAGTGGTACCTAATGTATCAACCTGTACATTTAAAAATGGTTAAGATGACAGATTTTATTCCATGATTTTACCACAAGTAAAATTTAAAACAGATGAAAATATAGAGAGAATACCATATTATTCCTAAGACTGTGTGTTGTATAAAATCATGTGTATTGAAAGCATCTAGTAGTAAGACTGGCCCAAAATGGGTCTCTGTGATAGACAGGTTTCTACTTCATCTTCTCCACCCTGTTCTAACTCATGGGGTCCTGCCTTGTGGCTTCCTCATTAAGAGAAAAGTGAAGTCACAGCCGTTTTTTCCTCACTGGGGGGGTGGGGTGGCCTTGAACTATCTGTGTCCTTCACCTAAAGGTTGCTGCTCTTCTAAAGATGGCGGCTCTATAACATCTCTCTTCTTGAGTACTGTAACTTTCTAGTCAATTTTTCTCTAGGGTGGACCCAGTTCTGAGGCTACGAGCCCCAGGTTACTGTGGTTTTCCTCCATTCACACTTCTGTAAACATTCTCTTTCTAATACTTCTTCCTTGATTATTCTAATTCAAGGGTGCCATCTGTTTCCTGTAGGAACACTGACTGATGTGGAACTCTTATAAAATTTGTCTCCTATCCCTTTCTTCGTTCAGAACCTGCAGTGTCTATAAGTGAATGTCTCACCTGCTTAGTCAGAAGAGTGAAGTGACCAGCAGTTAGCGTAATGGCTATGTCACTGGACTCCCATGTAGTCAACTAGGGTTCGAGTCCCGGACCCGGCAGCTTAAACGCACACTGGGCATCTGTGCATGCATGCCCAAGATACTGAGAGGAGGAGGAGAAGGGATTGTGGCGTGGCCACCCCCCCCCCCCGGGGGGGGGTGATTTCTTGCTTTCTGTTTCTCTTTCTGGTGAGCGCACAGCTCTATAGCAAAAACCTCTCCAAAAAAAGAAAAAAAGAGAAAAAGAGTGAACAAACACACTTTCAGAAAGAGGTAAAGTCAAAAGAACAGTTGTCATGATCAGCCAACAGAAAAGAGATAGGAATGAAGAAAGGGCAGCGTGCTGTCTTCCCACCTCAGCATGCTGTCTTCCCACCCTGCAGCCACTCCTCCCAGCCTCTGCCCCATACCATTATCAGCCATTAGTTTACCCCAAGTGTAAACAGCTCTTGAGAGTCCATAACCCAAGTCACAGGATCTGCTGCTCAGTTTGATTTGACAACAGGGTCTATTACTCTCCTCTGTACCTAGGGCTCTGCTCATTCCTCTAGTTACATCTACAGAATTCTTTATTCTTTTTTTCTCTCCTACTAGAAGATAAAAGATCTGGCAGTAGGAGAGATTAAACTGAAAACTAATACAAATGAACCTGATCTATCTCATGGGCATTCTGATTTGTACCAAAAACAACACTACCACCACTGTGTACACACACATGCATGCACACACACACACACACACACACACACCAAAAGTGACTGAGAAGAATTTGCTCATTCACAAGCTTTGGAATTGCAAGCTTGCTGAGAACTATTAAAACTTAAATAGCAAGTCTGTTCCTGACAATCAATAAGCAAAATCCTTTTAAAAGATTCTTCTCCCAGCTAGTACCCACAGAAGAGAGCTCCATGATGCTTGTCTTAGGGTCTGAAATGTAGAAGGATCTTTTGAAAGGCAACCACCCCATAAAACTTTCAATACCATTTCCCTCCCAATTCAGGGGCTCCTTCTGTGCCTCTGATCTGCAAGTCTAAGGAATTTTAGACTTCCCCTGTCAGGCTATTAAACAAACCACTGTTATATACAGGAGCATCACTAATCTTTCTCTTAATGCAAGGCCTAAAATCCATGAGAACTTAAATTACTCCCTCACTCTATCTGCTGGTTAAATAGCTGCTGATTTTCAATTTTTGAAAATATACAGGAAGCTTTTTCCAATAAAAAATAGCATTGCCATTTTCTCAATTAGAGGTACCTGTGGAAGTCAAATGTTTTCGGAAGGAATGTTTTCTTAATTGCCAAAAGGCTCATCATTCTTTTCTCTCTCTCTTTTTTTCTAATTTGCCAGAGGACCTATGCATTTGCTATAGACAGAGAGAGTGAGGGAGAAGTAGAAAGCATCCCTACATTTTTTCATCCTATTGGGATTTGGGGCATGGACACACACAAGCCCGGCCACAAGGTCTGGGACCTGAACTGTCCAATAGGCCATGTGAGATCTGGCTCCCTTCACCATTAGTCAATGGAGCTAGTCCCATGATTATTTTTAATACTTAACCTTTTTTTAGCAGTTTACAGTCTGGAAGAACTTTCGTATCTGTAACCACACAAGCCCTCTTTGTGGAGAGGTATTATTGCACCTCTTACAGTTGAGGAAAACCAAGATTCACAGTAGTTCAAATAACTTCTCTCAAACTTCACAGGTAGTTTACCTAGACTCATGAATCAATCTTAATATTACCACAAGTACAGCAGCTAGGCTTTCATGACTCAATGCCTCCTTGGGTGAT